AGGGAAGGGGTGGTGCCGGACTCCACCAGATGGGCCCAGAGGAGAGAGGGCTGTGGGGAGGAGGGAGCCTGTGCTGCCCGGTGAGACTGTTCGGGGCTCGCCCCTCTCCCTGGACATTAGGGCTCCTGTGGCACTGCTGGCAGCAAACGTGGGCACAGATAGACCCCTCTGCCTGCACCTTCCTCTCCCAGCTCCCTCTGCCCTCCTCTGAAACCACAACGGTTTTGGGAAGGACCCATGGGAAGGTGCTCGGTTGTGCTCCGAGCTGTCTCCCAGTGTCCCAGTCCCTCGTCAGGTCTCCTCTTGTGCCCAGGGACCCCCTGGCAGAGAGCAAGGAGGAGCCCAGGCGGAGCAGAAACAGCAAGAGGGTCCGAGCAGGCAAACCTGGCCGTGTCCCAGTGCTGGCCGCACAACGCTGCCCGCTGGTGCTGGGTTTGCTGCCAGCTGCGCGTGCCCAACGCAACCCCTGCCCAAGGGGCTGCCAACAGCCCGGCGAGGCTGGCACTCCTGCCTAATTTGCAATGAGCTTATTGAGGCTGGGTAAGCTCATTTCACGGACAACCCAAATTTCATACACTTGGAAAGCGAGGTCTCCTCTAGCAACAGGATCCGAGCTCACTCAAGGACATGAGAGCAAGCGAGCCAGGAACAGACTCCAAGCCTCCAAACTTACACTCAGTGCCTAATTCAGATTTTACGCCCAAACAAGCTCAAGAAATTCAGAGTACTATTCCCACAGGGAAAATGAAAAACTGCCCCAGGGAAACTGGCTGCAAGAATGTCACAGGGCAAACAGAGCTCCCTCAGCTCCCAAATCCTCTGGAGGCATAAAGAGCTCAGGAACGTCTGCCCTGGATGGTACAGAGTCCTTCAACAATGGTCACTGCACTGTGCCACCCATCCCTTCTCTCCTCCTGATGTCTGCATTGCTCTGAGGCTTTGCTGGGTTAAAATTTGTCCCTGCGTCAGAAGATGTCCCTCCTGAGCAAGGAGTTCAGCACCCTGCCCCAGGTGACCAAGCCATGGATTGCACAAGGTCCTATGAGGTCCAGTGCTCCCTCCAGATCAGAGCATCCATAGCACCATGATCCTGATGGGCAGATGCGTCTTCTCCACGTCACCAAGGGGCTCCTGCCAGCCATGCAGGCAGCTGCCCTTGAGGGTCACAGTCCTGCCGTGTGACACTCACCCACTCCTCTGCCATGCCTAGGACACAGCCGGATAAAGCTATCAAGCCTAGAGCTAAGCCGCTGCAGTGCATCAGCTAAGGGAAGAGAAGAGCTGGCCTGTCCAGAGTAAAAACTCTACTCCCTCGCTCTCCACGGAGCACAGGAGAAAGGCTGTAAACTGTTGCAGAGCTGGTCGTCAGCAGATCCCTTCTCCTGCCACTGGGGAAGGACACTTGCTACTACACCGCAGAAGCAGGGAGCGCAGTGCCAGGAAGTCACCAATATCTTGCAGCCGAGCTCCAGCCTTCTCCTGCGACCAGCCAGCACCAAGTAAAAGAAAAAGCTGAAGCGGGAATTGCCACAGCTCCTTCTGCATACGCTTGTGATATCCTGCCTGGCTGAGAATAAGGGTTTCCAGGGCAGAAGCCTGAGAGAAACTCTGGGGCAGCACTTGGGAAGAGCATGCTTTTTCCATGTGTGAAGACCATGTTTAGACTGAAGGCTATAAGCAGGACCACACCCGCCTCCCTACCAACCCATGAGCCCTTCCCACACAGTCCAGGCTCTCCCACATGTAGGACTGACCACCTAAACATCTTGGGGCACCAGTTCAGCAAAGATGTTAGGAAGGGGAAGGAACTTGTCAGCAGTTCACCCCAGTGTTGTGCCTACTTTGTACACAACACGGGCGACAGAGTGTATGGAGAAGGTGTGGAGAAAGGCCACACATCATTTCTCTAGACTAAAGGCTGATATTTTCCCATTTCTAGTCCATACATCTCTACTAAAATTGCTTGGAAATCTGTAGATGGCAAAGAGAGCAGCCACAAAACCATTTCCAGGGATGGAAAGACTTTTCCAGTGAAAGATTTGTATAATTCAATTTGTTTGTCATGTTAAAAAGAGAAAGCAATGACTTGATTTCCCAGTTCTTTAAGGCAATAATCCATCAGGCACCAGAGTCTCTCTAATCCAGAACAGAAACACGTAATAAGAACCAACATGTCTGAGTCAAAGCCAGACAAGTTCAACTGAGGAATAAGAATGGTGCTTTTAATGCCGTAGGTGATTAACCACAGGAACAAGCTAACAAGGAAAGTGGCAATATCTCTTGTGGAAACAGTCAAACCCATGTCACTGGGCTCAACACATACGTACCACATCTGTACTAGGGAAGAATTCAAGGATCTAATGATTTCTTCTGGTCTAAAAATCTGCAATTCTGCTATAAACTTCTCTAAGACTCTGAACTAAACCTGGGTTAAGAAAGCACCGATGTTCACATGTTGCAGCTCTTACATAAAAATGATTAGAGATGTGACATAGAATCACAGAATCATAGAATGGTCAGGGTTGGAAGGGACCTCATCTCAGCTCCTACAGCAGTTTAAAATCTGAAAACATCAACAGACTAGTCCCTGTACTGCCCGCCCTTTGGCAACCAGGGACACCACTATGCTGCCACCACAACCACAGGTACTTGTTCCTCCAGCACGTTCCTCAGCATCTCTGTAGGCTCTGCAAGTTGCCAGTGAACCCACCAGTAGCGCTGCTTGTAACTACATATGTTGTTGAACAGAGCTGCTCCTCATCACAGGGTTAAACCCAAGCCAAGTACACTTGAGATAACTCCCAGAGGAGCAAAGCACTGCTGGAGCCTGTGCATCAGCGCGGCAGAGCCAGCGAGTCCCCAGCATAGGACAAGCTCAGAAGATGCAACTTCCACCCACACCTATCCCGAGCCAATTAGCGAGCACATGAACTCGTTCAGCTTGAACCAAGAAAACCTGTGCAGATGGGAGTCAGATCAGAGGCAACGTTCAGGCTGTGCTCTGGGCTTGTTAACACTGCAGCGAAGAAAATGACGTGTTTGCTAAAGGCTGATGTCGCACTGGGCTGTAATTACAAGGAATGGGGGGTTTTGTTTCTTAATCATTACTGCTTGCGTTAGGTTTCCTTTGAACGGTTTTACCACGCTGTACTGAAACAAGAGCCCACCAGAAGAACTATTGACCTTTTTCTGAATAGAGCTGAGTCTACACAAGTGTCTTCCTATTCTTTCCTCCAAGCTCCCTCCAACATTATTTTAAAATCTGTCCTGCAGTTTGTTGCAAACGTGCCCACTTATGAATTAGCCAAATACGAAATAGAAATCAGAACATTTTTTCCTTTTTTTTTTTTTCTTTTAACCATAAAACTTTTCCTCCCATATTCACCTAAATGAGCTGCAAAGATGTGGAGAAGGCTTTCAAAATAAATTTATCTGTGGACTGAAACCAGGCAGGAACAACTCCAGAGCAGGTTTTACTATAAAGCTATGGAAGCAGAAAGACACTGGTTGGTTGCTTCAGAAGGAAGCCCAGTCTGTCTGGGGGCAGCTCTGGGGCTGCAGTTTGCAGAAAGGCTCAGGACAGCTTTCGCTGGTGGGAGTGGGAGAAAGGGGAGGTTTTTCCAGTGCTAACAAGTGACACTGTTAAGTCTCTTTAAAATAAAGGCAGGTTGAACAGCAAGGTAATCAACAGGAACAAATGCAGTGTGCTACCACGCTGCTTCCCTCCCCTAGTGCTGGGCATGCTCTCTCCTTGATGACCCCACCACAG